GGCATAACCAGTGCTGGACAATAGCATTTACTTTTTCCCTTTTTTTCCCCTTTCAATATCTTCACTTTCAGGCCAAAGTCATCTCTGGCATCATTCTTTTACTCCAGGGCTATATTTGGCCCATTGTGTCCAAAGCCATGACAAATCAAACCAGGTCACTGTGGGCGTGAGTCTATGATCCTTGCTCACATTGACTAGCACTTACTCATAGCAGGAGCCCCAATGAGATCAAGTTAAACTCAGTGCAAGTAAAGCAAGATCGGCTTAGGTTCCAAATAAACTAAAAATTTTAATGTGCACAAGACAGACAAGAGGGGGCTTTATCCCATACGTAACAACATGTTAGGGCATCTCAAAACTATAGGCTTGATTCTGATGTCCTTACACTGAATAGCCCCTTACTGTGAGAGTGGTCTCATGGACTCCCACCTGCTGAAAAAGTGTGGGTAAGGGGATAAAAATCTGCCATTAAAAAGCCACAAAACTATGTTAGGGAAATAAGCAGACTCTCTTATTTAATCTGGAAGAAACAGTGCAATCCTCAGAATGTTTTACGTCAATGCAACATAAATACAAATCAGTATTGAAACTGATGGTGAAGTGAAATACAATTGGCCAGATTCTAAGCTAGTGCAAATCAGCATCACCCCATTGATGCTAAAGGGGCAGAAACCCCAGCTAATGTAACTTGATGGAGTGCCACTTAAATTAATGTGGCTATATCTGCAGTGGGTGTAAATCATCTTTGCCCATTGAAATCAATTCCATATGGCTAAATTGAGTGGAAATCCATCAACCTCAACAAAAACCTCACAGATACAGATTGAAATCAATGGCGCTCCAGCTCCAGTTGGTGTAAGCTAGCGTCACTACATTGCAATCAATGGGGCCAGATCCCCAGCAGGTGAAAATCAGCATTAGCTCCATTGGTGTTAATGCGTGAGACCCCAAAGTAAATAGGTGGAGCGCTACTGAACGCATTGGGCCAGAACCATAACTAGTCAAAATTGGTGTCATTCCATTGAAGTCAGTGGGGCTACACACATTTATACAAGAAAAGGATCTGGCGCTTATGACCATAGGATTTCCCAAGGCACATAAATGACTTACGGGCAAAAGCCCCTTATTGGGGCAGCAGTCTGGCTTGTTCTATCCAGTTGGCAGATCATGTCCTTAACTTGTAACCTGGTGTAGATATGTAACCCACACACCGCCTGGGTGTGGTGCTCTGTCCCATCTGCTGGCACTGAGACCACTCAGAGAGAGTTTAATGAGTCTACCCTACATCCTTAGTCAAGAGCCATGTGGCTTTTAGCTCATGTGGTAGAGGCTCATGTACTAAGCTGCAGAGGTCCCATATTCAATCCCGCCCGCCGAAGACTGGGGCCTGTCGGTGTTACAGATGCACATCAAATTATCCACCCACAGGGGCAAGTGTGAATTGTCTGATGTTCATAGCTTCCCGACATTAACCTTAATCCTAACCATACCCCTGCAGAGTTTGGGGAAGTTCTGGGGCAGACTCTTGTTCCATGACTGAACTAACCTGTAGAAGCTACCAGTTCCCCTCGGTCTCATAGAAACATGGGGATTGCCAGACAGGATCAGACACAAGGTCTATCTAGTCCAATAGCCTGTCTATGACAGTGGCTTATACCAGATACTTCTAAGGAAAGCGGAAGAAGATCATAGTAGGCAGATATGGGATAATCTTCTCCCAACATTAGGTCATTGGAGAATGAAAATAGTGGTATATTAGGTGATGGTCTGTTTCCATCTTGGCATTTTGTCAGAGGCCCATGCAGTGGTTATTCTGACATTGTTTAACCAGTTCTCCCTAAGAATCATCTGCACTGTCAGCTTTGTCCACAACCCTCCCTGACTTTGTATAGGTCCATATCTGAGTCTGCACTGGGATCAGAGTGAACTTCACATGATCTATGAGTTTGATGGAAATATTTTCCACATACCAGGCCCTGAGTTCTCTCTCTGATCCCACAGGATTGACATGTACTGTTCTCTGCAGTCCTAGCCTCAAAATTCTGTCACAGTAGTGCTAGAATTGAGATTGTGTGATCTTAGCACACCTGGAGTTGAGCACAGTCTAACAAAAGAGAATATAAAATAGATGGGCCTGTATATTTAACAGTGTACTCTATTGAGATGAAATTTCAGAATAGCTCTGGTATTTGTATGATTTCAGCATCCTTTTACCTGAGTTTCAATCGACAGAGGGCACCCAACCTAAAGCACTAATGGTAATTGTAATTCACCTTTAAATCAAGAATAAGAGGCCTGTGATTTACAAACAGAATCTCTTGAGGTCTAGCCTTACTGAGTACAACAAACTGCAGATGCCCTCTAAGTAGAATGCTGGAAGTGTGCTACTCCCATAATAACCCAGTGGTCAGTGGATTGAAACCAGGGTCAGCTAGCCCTGGCCTGTTTATTATTTACGGGTATAAAATGGCCATGACTAAAGTTAGTCTGGAAAGTGGAAGAAAGTTTCTAACCATCAGAGAAGGGAGGTTCAGGAACAGCCTCCCACTCGAATTAGTGGAGTTATACAACGATTTAAAGTGGAGCTGAATAAGTTTATGAATGGGATTATATCACGTTGCTGCCTGCAACAGCAGTAGACTGGACTCAATGACCTCGGCGGGTCACTTCCTGTCCTATGTTGCTCTTGGGATTGCCAATATTAACAAGCCTGCGTTGTGCACAATCATTTTTGTGCAATTCAAAGAAATGGTGCAATCCGAGAAATCAGGATGGTGACCCAGAGAACTTGCCCCCTCTCTCACAGCTGTTTATTGATTTTTAAAAAAATCAGTAACTACATTTATTGAGAAAATATCTTCCTGTATATCATCCTTCTAAAGGCGTCCTTCACTCCATGTTTCTAAGGCTGTAGATCAGAGGGTTCAGCATAGGGAACACAGAGATGACATTGTTTTGGTCCAAGGTGTAGCCAAAACTGGGTCATAAATACATAAAATCAGAGTACTGTAGAAGGTAGTGACAGCTGTCAGGTGAGAGGCAAAAGTACAAATGGCTTTGAGTGGATCTTCAGGATGGTGTATTAAGAAGATGGCCAGAAACATAAGGCCGTGTATCAGATTCCTGGTGTGAGGCCTAAAGCCTGAGCTAAAGTAACCAAAACTTTGCAGATCTAAAGCAAAGCCAAGCTGTGAGCAAGAGGCAGGCCCCGTTCTCAGAATCTGGCAAGACCAGGGCTGATATTGCAGAATCACACGTGCTTAAGTAGTGCTAGGCACAAGTATATATACGCCAGCACATTCCAGAAAGGCGGTACCAGAACACCTCCATACCAACCACATGCCCCAGAGATAACAGGAGCACGCTGACCCATCCTAAGGATAAGGTCAGGATGACAGCATGATGGATAGAGATGTTTTAATCAAACCAACTTGTACAAGATAATGGGCAGCCCTTGGATCCGTCAATGGGTGACACCCGAATACGTCAGAGGGTGTCACTCTGATACATCAGGGGCAATACGTCACTTGTTTGTATTTGTGTATAAAGATGTATCTCAGAGGGAGTGTCTTTGGCCAGCCTAGGGAGCAGTGGAGAGTCCCACCACTGATTGAGTTGCGTCCATTGACACAAGCATACAGGTCTGACAATCCATCCAGATACTATTACTGTGCTCTATTGACAGTAAACCTGGCCAGGTGCCTTCACTGAAAATTGAGTCTGTGGATTTCTTGGGCTGTTTAATTGAGGTCTGCTATCTCCACAGAGCTGGGACAGCACACTGAACGAACACACACGCAGCCAACATCTGACCACAGGTGACGACGAGGCTGTACATATAAGAGACTAGAAAAAGTAGCATAGTAATCTTGACAAATATAGGTTTCAGAGGAACAGCCGTGTTAGTCTGTATTCGCAAAAAGAAAAGGTGCCACAAGTACTCCTTTTCTTTTTGACAAATATAGTCAACAAGGTGAAATGAATAACATCATTGCGTTGTGTATGTCAGAGCAGGACAGCTTAAGGATGGGGAGGGATGTCAGAGAAGAAATGATTGCTGACCCTGGGGTGAGAGAAAGACAAGCTGAATATACAAATTGTTCGGGCCGTTGAATTCACAAAGACACAACAACTATCAGCACACAGAGTGTCCTGGACATGATGACCCTCTAGAGCAGTGGGTTACAGATGACTGTGAAGCGGTGAGAGGCCATGGTGGCCAGGAGGCATCATTCATTGGTCACAAAGACACAGACAAAGAAAAATTGCACAGCACACTCAGTGAATGAAATGATTCTATTACTCTCTGCTACAGAAGTCATGAGCACCCTAGGCGCAATGACAGAGGAATAACCAACATCTACAATGGACAGATTACTGAGGAAGAAGCACAGAGGGGTGTGAAGATGGAGTCAATCCTGATTAAAACAGTCATCCCAAGATTCCCTACCAGTGTGATAACATAGCTCGGTAGGAACAACATGAAGAGTGGGACCTGCAGCTCTGGGTGGTCCATGAATCCCAGAAAAATCAACTGTGTCACCATGGTATGAGGCGGGGTGGGTGGGAAATCTAAATTTGCAAATAAACTGGAGCCAAAAAGGGAGCATGTGTAGATTCCTTGTAACAACTCTGACTGCTCCTGTGAAATAGTGTGTCTTGGGGAAATGTATTATGGGTTATGCACACACTTCCCCCTGGAGCTGGTGCACTGTCTCCTTACAGAAACACAAAACACTGTGCATTGTTTTGCATTCAATTAAATATGTGCAGAGATCCCACCACAATACGAGAGACTGTCCAAATCTGAATCGTTCCCATGCCAGAAATATCCCTTAGGGCACAGGGCTTTGCCATCCATGTCTCTCCTGCCCACCCTCTCTGTTGTTAAATCAGATTAGTTTGGAAAGGAAGTAAATCATCTCTTGTAAATGTATAGACAATAATGAATGGTGTAGAACGTTTTCATTTACACTGGTTTTCTCTTCTGGCTCCCATCAATGTCAGTGGGAGTTGATGGCACTTGGCATCACTGAAACTCAAAGCAAAGGTCCTACAAAGGATCTGTGTCTAACGTTGGGAATCCCCAGCAGAAAGATGTTGCAGGGCTAATATGTACCTGTAGAGACATTCATGTCATTGAATGTCTTTTTTTTCTTCCTGAAGGCTAGATTTTAAATGGAAAGATCTGCTCAACTTCAGAGAGTCACTAGCACCAAAGGGCAATAATACATGTAGATGACCATAAGTGATAGCTAACATAAGGACCGTAGCAAGTTCTAAAAATCGTTTCCCCCGCCCTCATTGGGTTTATCTATGCGCCATTCCAAGGTGTAATTTCAGCTTGGGTATTCCTCAATCTCTACGGAAGTGGTGTAGGCCCAAAAACCTAACTTTGACAATTGTTTTAAAGGATAATTATTTTAAGTGGTAATATTATAAGTGGGTACAAAGTAGACATAAGTGGGAAAAGAATTTCCTGTCTCCTGAACATATTCAAGATTTCAAAATATTTTCCCATTCTACATTGGGATGAAACCAGGTCTTCTGCAAAAACTTCACAGAAAGTGAGAGATAGAGAAGCTTGACCCATGAATAACCACTAGCCCAGTGGTTAGGGTACTCATCTAGGTTAAGGGATGAACTGGTGGATTTTCAACAGTTCCAGGGAGACTAGCTGACAGTCACTAATGTGACTTGGCCCTCCAGATAAGCCCCGGATACTACCACTCAAAATGCCACCAAGCAATTGCCTGGTGGGTCAGGATGACTTGACCACCACAGAAAAGGTTGGGGGAGAAAGGATGCTGGAGAGAATGTCATAACACTTATAGAAAGGGGGGGCATCAGTTTGTCATCATCCATGTCCATCACCTGCAGTGCCATTCCCCATAGCTCTCTTCCCTCTAGGCAAACCCACAGTTTCTTGTGCATGCTCTTCCCCGGGCCACACCTAACTCTCCCCAAACTCACTATCTCCCCCACCAAGCTGATCACAACTCCTTCTTCCCCATTCCAAATCAGGCACTTGGACTTGGGTCTCTCACATCCCAGATCAGGCTTACAATCACTGGGCTATCAAGATAGACTTTCTCTTTGTGTGTCCCAATGAATCCTTTATTGTTCATCCAACAGGAGAGATTGAGAGACAGAGATGCACCATAGAATAGAAAACAGGGCAGACATTAGGGCACTCACCTGTGATATTGGAAACATAGATCTATTTCCCTGCTCTTAATTAGGCAGAGAAGTGACTTGAATAGGGGTCTCCCACATCCCAGGTGAGTGCCCTGCAAGCTGGGATTTGGCTATTTTGGAGTTGCTCTCTCTATGTCTCTGGAGTTTAATCACAAATTCCATCCTGAACCTGAGAAATGTTGAATCAAAACTGAGACATTCCAATTAAAAGATTCCTATTTGGCAAATCCATATTTGTGGGGGAAAATCCATTTTATTAAAAAGTTCCCAGCCAGCTTGACTGCAGAGAATGGAAAGTGCCCACTTTGTAAGCAGCTGTTCAGTATTTTGTTTTAGCCTCATCATTCAATGTATGGGCCCAGGTGTGACAGAGATGGGCAAGAGCTGCTGACTCAGCCCTCTGTCAGGCCAGCTCCCATTAAGGGAAGCAAATTGGAGCTGGCTAGAAAAACCTGCACCGAGTTGGTGAATGGGAGACAGTTACCCACCCAATTAGCCTGGGGCTATAGAAAAGGCTGGGAGAACAGCCGCCAAAAGTGGGGGAGAGTAAGGGAGTGGAGGCAGAGATAGTGCATCTCTCCTAGGTTGACATGGGAACCTAAAGCTGTGTATGGTGAAAAGGTGGTGGGAACACAACCTGTAAATGAATGACACCAGTGATTATTGAACCCCAGGGTCTCCTAGGGACATTGTCAGCCTGGCAGGAGCTAAGAGGGCCCTGCAGAGCCCTTCTACACCAGGCCTTATTTAAACTCTTCCAGCCTTGCTCTGGAGACAGAATTCATAATTTGCTCATGTGCTTTTCCAGGGTGTTTATTACTGTAGTGTCTGAATTTATTTTCAAAATGCCCCTGTGAGGTAGGGAAGTGAGGCACAGAGAAATTAAGGTCAAAACTTGCCACTAATTTTGGGTGCCCAATTTGAGACCCTGCAGCAGCCCAGAACTGGAATTGCTGGGAAAATCCCCTGCTCAGCCCCTGGAATCCCTGGGATGTTGCCTGCCCAGGGCAGATGGACTCTTGGGGGGATTAAACTGGGAAGCTCTAGCAAATCTCGATTGATCCTGTGTGAGCAGCAATTTTTATAGGGTCAAATTTGGGCAGATTTTCATCAGATTGGCATAAGGCACTGCCCTGTCAAATTTCACATCACTGCTGCAAAGCTTGGGGTCACCAGAGCTTTTCAGAGGAAAAGTCATCTGTGGTGGAGTGGTTTTTTTTAATGTGGGCACAACAATGTCTTTTCCCCTAGCTTTGGTCTCAGAAATGGCAGAACAGGCTGAAACTTTCCAACTAAATACATTTCAATCTGAGGCAGGCAGCAGCCTTTTAAGTCAGGTCAATACACCGACAGGAAGCATGTCAATTTTGGAACGTCCACATGTTTCATACTGATCAAAAATTTGAAAACCAAAGATTTTGACATTTGCAAATGGACATTTTTCAGAATTTCCATTCTGTACAAAATGTTAATATTTTAACTTTTTTCCTTGATTTGTCAACATTGGTTTGCATCCCAAGTCAGTTTTTCCCATGGCATGGAAATTCTGAATTTCACTCAGCTCTGCCCTGTAGAATAGACTCAGCTACAGCAGGGTAAAGGTGTTTTGTTCTAGGGTAGCACTAGGGAGAAAGCACTAATGCAATGCGATAGGTAGCTCTGTGGTGCAATGGCTAGTCCATGATCCCTGCTAATGGAGGTGGAGATGCACAGATTGGGGTTTCACCTGAGTCAATCCTTTCAACATTTCCTTTATGGCCTGTATTATGCAGGAGGTCAGACTAGCTGATTACAGTGGTCCTCTCTGGCCTATAATCTGTGGACCTATTCAGTATATGGCACCTTTATATTGATATAACTTCATCCACACTGATGCTTATACCAGTATAAGTATATCAGAGGAGAAGCACATCCCTAACAGATATAGCAACACCTGTAAATCTTTCGGCTGTAGGCCAGATCTAAGTGTTGGCACATGGCAGAGATGAAACCTGTACTCCTAAATCTAATTGACACTTTGGGCATCTCAATCCAGAACCAGGCCCCATTGCTATTCCTGAAATCACCTCTCAGCTGAGGCCAAACCCCATAGGTGCCTAAACTCACTTGGCACCTACATTTTTCCAGTAAAAGCTCCTTTGTGCCTGTTTCTGCCTCTGAGTATGCACACTGCTACTTCTTTCTGAGCATCCAGATGCCTACCCCTTCCACCTCGAAGGAGAAGAGATTTCACCAGGGGTCTCCCACCTCTCCTGTGGGCACTCTAGTTGCTGAAATATGGGATATTCTGGTGTGGTTCTCCCTCGATCTCTCCTGTTAGAGCTGTTCTATTTGGAATCTGTGATTTATTATCCCCAGCCTCCAGGAGACATCAAAGACATTTTCATGATCTCTTCTGACATTCTATCAGGGGGTAGCCATGTTCGTCTGTATCCACAAAAACAACACGGTGTCCGGTGGCACCTTAAAGGCTAACAGATTTATTTGAGCATAAGCTTTTGTGGGTAAAAAACCCACTACTTCAGATGCATGGAGTGAAAATTACAGATGCATTCATTGTTATCCTGACACATGAAGAGAAGGGAGTTCCCTCACAAGTGGAGAGCCAGTGTTGGCAGGGCCAATTCAATCAGGGTGGATGTGGTCCATTCCCAATTATTGATGAGGAGGTGTCCGGTTTGGCCAATGTACATGGTAGAGGGGCATTGCTGGCACATGATGGGATATATCACATTCGTAGACCTGCAGGTGAATGAGCCCCTGATGGTGTGGCTGATGTGGTTGGGTCCTCTGATGGTGTTACTAGAGTCGAATAGGGACTGGGAGTGGCTGGCTCACTACAAAAGCAGCTTTGCCTCTCCTGGAATTGACACCTCCTCATCAATTATTGGGAGTGGACCATATCCACCCTGATCAAATTGGTACTTGTGAGGTAACTCCCTTCTCTTCATGTGTCAGTGTAACAATGCCTGTATCTATAATTTTCACTTCATGCATCTGAAGAAATGGGGTTTTTTTACCCACAAAAGTTTATGCCCAAATAAATCTGTTAGTCTTTAAGGTGCCACCGGACTCCTTGTTGTTTTTCTGACATTCTGAGGTTCATGCTGCTTCAGGGATTTTGTCCCTAGTTGCCACCGAAACCAAATAAGAACCCCTTGTGTCAGCCCCACACCATTCTACTGGGATAAGTGATAACATACCTCTTTCTCCACAGGTAGGCTTAATCCACTCAGCTCTGACAGAGTAGGAAGAAATATTCTCTTAATCTTTTGCTTTTGGACTTTAAATTAGATTCCCTGTCATCAGCTTTTCAGATATTTTGACCTGATATTTATTTTTGGCTTTTCTGCTTCAGACTAATACACAGTGGGAAAAGGTACATGAAGCTACAGGATTGCTTATGTTGACGGTATCTATTTGCAGAAGAATCAAATAGTGTAAGATAAATAACAGACAGGGAAAAACATAAAATATAATCTCTTGTTTTCTTTTGTCTTATTTTGCCATCTCATTTATTTAGTCTCAAATGTCGTCTTTCGCATGAAGAATTGTGGTGTTAACTCAACAATTCTCGAGAGGATCTGGTGCTGCAGTGACAATTTTCAGAACTGAAGTTCTCTATTTACACACTGAATGGGTACAGCATAAATTAAAGGCAACTCAAGATTCCAGTCTACAATACTACATCTCCTTCTGACAGTCTGCAGGTCAAGGCAGATACACAACAGCAGGTAAGAGGATCAGACCCAGAGTCCTCAGAAAACTTTGTCACACACCTGGTTCTGTGCCTGGTTTGGGGAGGAACATAATATTTCTGTCTCCACTTAATATCACTTTTAACACAATTCTCTTGGTTCTTGTCATTGGCACTGGAGATGAAGTCCAGGACCTCAGGATCTGAAAAAACAAACTACCTGATTTAAAATGCCTCTGTTTGTTAGCTCTGCGTGGTCCAGTCTCTGGAGAAGGACAGAGAGCTATGAAGTGTGAGTTTAGGTTACAAAATCAAGCACCTTTATCAGCTCTATATTTAATAATCATAAAAAGAATCGGACATTTACTACTGGAGGAGCTGGTGGTGTTTTCTGTATTAGGTTACCGAGCACTTTCCATTCAAACAGATTCTTGTTTTTGAGAAGCTAAAACACCTCCATTGTTTGCAGCAAGTTTTTGAACTTCAGTTGGGAGAAAGCCCTTGGACTTGAGAAGAGCATTTTTGTTTGTTTGTTTTTTTTGTTTTCCCCATGAAATTCTCTTCAGGTTTAGCTGAGTTTTAGCTTTTGATAACCACTGTCACCATTTTTTGTTTCAGTTGTGAGCAAAATTTGAGCTTCCGGCTAGTATAACACCTGTATTCTAAACAGATGGGCCCGTGTTACCACCAAAAAAAGCAGCAGACATTGACAATGTTACACCTGGAATAGTGACTGCTTCTGGACCTTCTCAACCAGAGTTGACTGGAGCGGGAGAGAGCCACCTCTGCATTACATATATAGCCCAGTGGTTCATTCCCTTCTCTGGGGATTTTAGGTGGGGGGGCCCCCCCCCTTTTTCCCCAGAGGAAGAGAGGAAAAAATGTGGGGGGCGCCCCCCCACACCCCCCCCCCCTCCTCGTCTTTTTTAAAAAAAAAGGCTGGTGGTGGAAGGAGGGGAAGAAAGGGGGGGGGGGGGTGGGATGGAGGGGGGGGGGGGTGAGGTGCAAACCAAGAGGATGCAGAATGGAGGTGTTGTGACAGAATTGAGTTTTGTCTTTTTAAAAACCTAGGAAATTTACATATGCAAAACTATATTAACGGAACATCATTTAGGATGTCTATTCAGTCACACAAAAGTTAGTCTGCCCTATACACTGAATAAGCAGGGGTCCAGTGGTTTTAAGAAAAAAACAGCATGTGATAATGCAATTAAAGACTAATCATAATGCAAACACCCAAGAGGGCAGAATTAAGGTTGCATAGGCAACCACAAATCTGGCATTTCCTAATTTTCAGTTGCTGAAGTTTTCAACCGTAAAGACTTTTTGAGCAGTGTTGGTTTTTTTGGTATGTTTTATTTTGGGAGGCCGGGGGAGGAGGGGTTGATTCACAGTATGAATATTAAGAACAGTTACATTAGGTATGATACAGACATTTGCAAGGGATGTAAACCTTCATGCTTCAGAGCATGAGGCAACCACTAATTGCCTGGATGGTGGATGAAAATACACCTATAGGCCTGTTATTGAATAACTTCCTACCGTGAGGGCTTTGCCCCTTTCCCTGAAGCACACTGCAAAGACTGCCAATGCATAGTCAATACTCAATAAGATGCATCATTTGTCTGATCTGGTATGGCAATTCCTATGTTCCCTATATTGACTAAAATTTTCGTTTTTTTTTACTTGTCTAGCAGAGATGTAAAGAGAGAGGGAATATGCAGAATACCGAGACCTCTGTTTTTTCCAGTAACTAGGAAACTCCCACATTATCTCCAACTCATTTTCTTTCTATCCTAAAGATTACAAACGGGCATGAGATGCTTTGCGCCCATCAGCACAGATCTCACATTGTGTTACCGTGTCACTGGCCAGATTCTGATCTCAGTCTCACAAGTGTGAAGGTAGAGTAGCTCAGCTGAAGTCAATTGGTTAATGAGGAGTCAAACCAGCCCATAACTTCCTCCACCAAATACAAACCACAATGGAATTTACTGAGTGTACACCTACACCATGACTGGTAAGAAATGTCATTATTATTATCTTTTGAGCATCTCTTTGTGAATGTGGCAGTGAAATTCCATAGAAACATAACGGCCATACTGGGTCAGACCAAAGGTCCATCTAGCCCAGTATCCTGTCTTCTGACAGTGGCCAGTGCCAGGTGCCCCAGGGGGAATGAACAGAACAGGCAATCATCAAGTGATCCGTCCCCGTCGCCCATTCCCAGCTTCTGGCAAACAGAGGCTAGGGACACCATCCCTGCCCATCCTGGCTAATAGCCATTGATGGACCTATCCTCCATGAGCTTATCTAGTTCTTTTTTGAACTGCTATAGTCTTGGCCCTCAAAACATCTTCTGGCAAGGAGTTCCACAGGTTAACTTAGTATTTATCCCTAGGAGATGCATTTTCTCATTTCTAGGCTCTGGGAATCTGAGAGTCAAAAGTAACCATAGAATCAGTTACAGTCCATACCACTTACAAATGTTAGTACCTCTGAGAGGATTTGTAAGAGGGAGGAAAAATAATGCACATGGTGACAAAGAATGTCTGTAAAACATAGACTGACTCCAATAGGACAGTGACACTTTAAGGCTGCATAGACAGTGATACCAAACTTTTCCGCTGGGGCTGCCTCATAGTAGGCACCTAAATGTCTATTTAGGCACCTATATAAAAGGGGCACTGAGCATCCCTTGTGCCCTTTGAGGTCGTTTGGATTAGGAAGAGAAAATCAATGACCATGAATAAACTCTATAGCATTGATTATTTGCGTACACTGATAGCAGATTATTTGCCTCCCTTCTAAACTAAACACTCCCAATCTATATATCTCTTATTTTATAGAAGATTTGACCCACTGGATGGTTTCATGCATATTAACACAGAGTATACAATATTTCTGTAGCTGGGTCATATCCTATCTCTAATGGAAAGCATGTGGGAAATACAAAGAGAACATTCCCTAGGAGTGTCCTTTGATGTGTTATGTTTATACACTGTTTCACAGGAACAATCACAGGGATTATGAGGGATCTGTACTCAATACTTTATTGTCCCATGATTAACTGTAATCCTTATTTTTTATTTTTCACCAGCAGAGGAGAGAGTTTCTGGAATAAATGGCAGAGAGAAACCATACCACGGTGACAGAGTTCATTTTCGTAGGATTCACAGATCATCCAGATCTACAGATCCCCCTCTTTATGTTGTTCCTAGTGATGTATGTGGTCAGCCTGATGGGGAATCTTGGGATGATAGCGTTAATCATGGTTGAAACCCGACTTCATACCCCCATGTACTTTTTCCTAAGCCAGATGTCCATTGTAGATATTGGATATTCCACAGCCATAGCTCCCAGGCTGCTCATGACCTTTGTAGCAGAGACGAGAACCATTCCTTTCATTGAGTGTGCGGCACAACTATTCTTCGTCTGTTTTTTTGTGACCAGTGAATGTTGCCTCCTGGCTGTGATTGCGTATGACCGCTTCAAAGCTATCTGTAATCCACTGCTCTACAGAACCATTATGTCCAAGAGACACTGTGTCCTGTTGGTGGCTGGCACATATGTCTGTGGCTCTGTGAATTCAATTGTGCAAACTCTATTTATATTCAGTCTGTCCTTCTGCAGCTCCAGTGTTGTCAACCATTTCTTCTGTGACGTGCCCCCCATGCTGAAGCTGTCTTGCTCCGACACCCAGGTCACTGACCTTGTACTTTTCACTTTCTCGACTGTAATTGTCACGACTACTTTCCTGGGTGTCCTAATATCCTACATGTGCATCCTTGTGGCCATTCTCAGGATCCATTCTTCCAAGGGGAGACGCAAAACCTTTTCCACCTGCGCCTCCCACCTGTCAGTTGTCACTATGTTTTATGGGACACTGATATGTATATATTTAAGACCCAGTTCCAGCTATTTGATGGACCAAGACAAGGTTACCTCTGTGTTTTATGCCCTTGTGATCCCCATGTTGAACCCCCTGATCTACAGCCTGAGAAACAAGGAGGTAAATGATGCCTTTAAAAGGGTGTTATACAGGAAGATATTTTCTTGGTAATTATAATCATTATTATATTTTAACCAATAAACAGCAGATAGAAGAATGAATTCTCTGTATCATTATCCTTAGTTCTCTGACTCAGCTACTCCATGTGACGTTACGTTACGTTGTATTGAACTGTGTACAGAAAATATAATGTTAGAAATTGCTGTTTTCAAGATCCACGAATGAGGGTCTGTGACACTACGTAGAATTGGCAAGATGCTCTGGCATTTGGCTTAAAGGACAATTGCTGTTGGTCCCAAAACCGATCCTTGAGGAACTCCACTGGTAACTTCCTCCAGCCTGACAGTTTGCCTTTCAGTATGACCCTCTGTAGTCTTTCCCCTTTAACCAATTCCTTATTCCTTTCAATTTTCATATTGATCCCCATCTTTTCCAATTAAATTAATAATTCCCCATGTGGCACTGTATCAAACACCTTACTGAAATCTAGGTAAATGATAAATACCATGGAGGGAGAGGAATTATTTAAGCTCAGTACCAATGTGGACAAAAGAACAAATGGATATTGTAGAAGAAAACAAGTTCTTACTTTTAGTTTGCATGCAACAAGTTAGAGACAGTTTTATTTTTAGGCAATTGCAAGAAGGAAGACAGCCGTTTGGATAGTGTCCGTTTTTATGCTAATTTTTAAAGTATAAACAATGTAAGGCAAGTATTTATACCTTTTTATTACATAAAGCTCTGCTTTGTTTATACATTTTTTAAAATATTTTATTTCTTTTAAATATTTTTTTACTACAATTACATTTTATTATTTTAAGGCAAGGTTAAAAACAGCTTTGCTTTGCAATTTTTGTTCGCTTGCACCAGTTTTGCCTTGATAAGTTTTGCGTTCTTAGGGGTTAGAGTTAGCCTGACTTTTGCTTTTTTTTTTTTAACAGAACTAAGATGGCTGCACTTAAATCCCTTTTTTCACACTCCCCCCTTTAGTGCTTTTAGCACAACCATCATTTTTAAACTTTTATTTTTTAGACCTTGTATTTTTGATTTTAGATTAAAAGGATCAGGTTTAGCCCCATAACTTTTGGTTGGATGTAACGATAATGCGTAATTAGTATGAACATGAAAGGTAGTTTTGTTGTTCTTGTTTTTTATAACCACAATAACATATTTTTTAAATTAAACAAAAACAATGTGTTTATTGTAATAGTAAGCTGGGGTTATTTTGTAGCCTTAGTTACATAGCACCATACATTATAATTAGTCCATAAGATAAATGCTTTATAGATGGTATGAAAGGCATGTGTTTTAATTTGATATATATTTTGAAGCACATAGATTTGGCCTTGTAATTTAGAGATTTTTTGAACCTGTGGTAGGAGTGAGTGTAGGGTTTGGAATTGGTCGGGTATGAAGGTGGTTTAATTAAAGGGTATTTGAAGCCTAAGATTTAATTGTAGGACTTTATTTGCAGGCCAATAGATAAAGATTTTTTGCAGCAGTGGTGAAATTAAAATGTATGTTTTGCAAATGGTGACCTTAACGTTTACACAGCTGTAACTAGCTTGGAAGAGCAGGTGTTTTGTTAGGGTCGGTTTTTGTTTTCTACTTTTTTAACAAACGCTGTTATAAACAGTGACAATTTTTTTTGGCTTTAGCTTTTGTACGCACTGAGGCTGTGGGGGCTTTAAAGGCCAAAAATGTTTATTGGCTTTTTATTTTTATGTAAACATTGGGTGTTATTTTAGGAGCACTGACAACAAATTGGCTCGGCATACCAGGGGAATTAATTTTTTTAATATTACTGTGAATTGTTTCATGTTCTATGCATTGTTTTTACGGACCCGGCAGGATTTGGTATGTGGGAGCCCACACCCCTTTCACCGGCCCGTAGGCTTGGCAGGAGCACTGCGAGTGCCTGCAACTTTACCCTGAAAACGTTTAAGTTTGTTTTTACGGCCACAGATCTGATGGCACTTTTGAAGCACGAGTAAGGGCAGTGGGCCAGGCTTGGTGCTTAAAGTCACTGTGAATGGCCGTTAGCTGGTTATTTAGGAAATTTTGAACATGCCAGATTTTATTGCAATTTTTTTTGCCTTAGTGATATTTAATACCATTTTTATTAACAGCTTTTGGGTCCTTGAACTAAGGGTGGAGATAACATGTAATTTACCAACTTTAGCCTGTACCTGGGTTAACTGTCCTTTAGTAATAAGACCAGTGGCCTTTTTTAGCTGTTTTAATTTGTTATTATGCTGTTGGCCTTGAAATGTTTTAAATTGCTGCTGCACTCCTGGCACCATTTTACAGGTGTTTTACCAGATTTCCTTTTTCTAGAGGAGACCCAGGGCCTTTGTTGTGCCAACAGAACAGCAGCCCCCTTGGAGCAGTTTGGATATATAAAATTGACCTGAAACGAGATAGGGCCAAACAAATTTTACAATTTTTAATGTAACATTAATTACTGTTAATTAGTATTTTAAAACTTTTTTTTAATAAAGTACGATACCACATTTGTTGTTTAAATTTTTTTAATGTACCTTTAAGAAGCATTGACATG